TATATATATATATATATATATATATATATATATATATTTATATATATATATATATATATATATATATATATATATATATATATATACGAACTATATACGAACTTGTGGTTAGAGCTCGACAACTGGCATCTGTAGCTCAGTTGGTTAGAGCGCTGCACCGATTCCTGCATGCAGGGACCTGTATCGCAGCAGTTCATGGTTAGGTCTAATAAATGTATAGTAACTGTTTCCACTCGATAAGTTCCATCTACAAGACCCTTCAACTATTACTGAATCGAGTACGATGCCAACAAAACCTCGATAAAGTATTTAGTTGTCGATGGACTGCAAATCGCCTAAATAATCGTCGAAAACTGTGCCTCAACAACGTTGCCTCAAGGCTCAAGCAACTTAGAAATAATATGAATATGTAATAACATGTAATTGTGTAAGTTTAAAAACATCATACAGAACTCCATGCATATATATTATAAAACAGTTGAAATATTATTAGAACATACCCATTCGAGACTGAAATGTTTTATTTTCCTTGGGAAAAATGCGCAGAAATGTCAGATATTTTCACAAATTTATGGCAGTCGGCAGATCAAGGGATCCTGCAGTCAGAAAGTGTTTTTGCCAAATAGGAAGATCAGAAATCTGCTTGGTTCTTGGTTCACAAAAGTATTTTGTGCAGATTCTTCAGAAATTATTTGCAGTTTTTACAATTTGAAAAATTTTGCGTCTTGATATAAAATATTTTTGCAAACGTTGCGAATTTTGCGAAATTCCTTGCCACTGCAGATTAGGACGAGGCAAAATGCCATTACAAATCCGCCACTTTGTGGAGACAGAATTTTTATTGAGAAAAGATAGGAGTACGCATTCTATAATTGTTATTTCTATGACTTATTAATTCCCGTAGAAAACTGGTGTGCATGTATTACATTTTTACTTACTTAAGGTAATTCCGCAGTTTTGCATTGCGCACTTTTACTGCGCACATCTTATAACTTATAATTTCATCCATTATCAAATATCATTTTATGACAATTTTATGTTACTTCAAAACATCTTTGGTTACATTCGTGCAAAGAATTACGTTAAAATCAATGTTTTCAAAAACGGCATACAAAAGTGTAGCTAGGGTTCCCTGTGTCTGTAGTATATTTATTTACTTGTATTTCACGTTTTAATGCCACAATTCCCTAAAAAGATCGGTGACCCCCGTTTTTTAACTGATAATTTATTTCTTTAATGCATTTTACATTTCATATCCGAAATTAAAAGAAAAATCATTTCTGGATCTTGAAACAAAATCCTTTATCAATGCATGTTCTCAAAGAAAGATATGTAAAGAAATGTGGAAAAGAGATTTGTGGATCAGAATTGTACACGTTAGTAGTTTCATTTTGCTCAAAACACAATATTTTTTAAAAAATAATTACAAGATAGGTTTACTAAAGCAAAATCCGCGCTAAAAGCGTCAATAAATATCGGGCTGTTGTGATTTTGCTGTTACTCGTAATGAGCGTCAAGATGGCGCCATATTGGGGTAAAGGTGGTATATTGTGATTGTCATATCTTCTTAACGAGTTCGGTGACCCCGACTTTTTTGTGTGATTTTACTTTAAGTATATCATACACTCCATGCCTGGGAAGTTTCAGCACATTCTCATTTCGGGAACAATTGCTGCGGAATTACCTTAAGCAACCGTATGCGACCCCCCCCCCCCCAAAGGCGAAGGAATTTCATGAGCTGTCTCTAGACCGCGAGCAGTAAATCTAAACCCGCGGAAAGGAGGGACCGCTCGTAGTCTATGACTCTCAAACGCCTTTTAGCATAGCTTGCGTGTCGCTACATACAACTTTTTTAGTATTTGCAGAGATACTGTAATAATAATAATTTGCAGTAGATTTGCAACTCACTTTTTGCGACATAAATTTCCATGCAAGTTTATTTCGATGTTGATATTTCGATTGTAAACAAATTGTGTTCAAACTGGAAAGTACTGTATTAATTACAACTCAGTGGAATATTTTTGGTTCAGTGATCTCCAAAGAAGGAATTTCTTTTTAGTAAGCCGGAACAAAAACTTAGAGGGAATTTAAACTTTATGGTATGAAAAAAAGCTGTCAAGCGATGCAAGAGTTCTCATATTTAATCTTCGCGTATGATATTAATTAAATTTATGTTCAAAATATGACTTGCAGGTAGCAGCTGAAACGATTTCCAACATTCAAACTGTAGTGTCCTTGGGGCGCGAAGAAGAGTTTTTTGAACGATTTAAGGCGTCACAAGTTGAACCATTCCGGTAAGTGTAACGAGAAATAGATAAAGAGAACAAGAGGGCATTCCACGTTGATAAATAATTAAGAACATATTGATAAATAATTAAGAATTGATAAATAATTAAAAATTGAGCAAATTATATAAGACATATAACTTCCAGGTTGAGATAAAACCCCCCGCTAATTCTCTTGATTTTAGGAAAGCCAAAAGATCGAGCCATATTGCTGGACTTGCCAATGGAACTCTGATGGGTGCCATTAATATTAATTTTGCAGTAGGATTTCGCTATGGTGGATATCTTATCACGGAAGACGAAATCACAGTCAAAGATATGATGCAGTAAGTTGGTAAAACGTAGCCTGGAGCTAGAAAAAAGCAGGGTGGGGGGCGAAGCAAAGCTAAGCAATTTTGACTGTTAATTTCAAGCACTATCGTCAGTTTTGTTGTTGCACGAAATGTGTTAGATACTGCCAGCACTTATGTAGTTGGGTCCAACGCCGAGCTTTTCCAAGCATTTTTTATATTGATTTCTTTATTCTTACTATACTGTGGCATTTTCTGCATTTTGGGTAAGCCATTTACATTTATAATAGAGTTTTCATTATTTTGAATTATTTAACACATAACTATTAATTCCATTGCAAAACAATCCAAAACACTTATAACATATAGCGGCTAGATAAATGTAATTTACAGTAGAGTACCCTGGGTTCCAGAGGTTTCGGAGAGTGTTCTATATGAAGGGTCTGGTTCGAACGAGGCAATTCTTTGATCGAACCGCGCCAATTAGCGAATGACAAACCAACAAAATTAGCGATTTTAGTTTTGATGGAGGTTGATGGAGGTTTCAAGAATGATTGACGGAGGTTTTATAGAGGTTTTGATTGATGGAGGTTGATGGAGGTTTTAAAACATGAGCAGCAGTGTTTTATCAGATATAGGCCTAAAGATACGAGGCGAAACCGAATACTTCAGGTCTGATAAAACACGCACTGCGAATGTTTTAAATTGTTTCAAAAAAGAACGATCTTACTTAGTATAAGTTCATTGGCAAAGTAATTTTCGAACTAATTTTCAAAAAATACGTTGTGTAAGTCGAGAAAATCAAAATTAAAGTTTATGTAAATCAAGGGAAATCTCTATTACATCATAATGAGTTTTTGAAGGAGGTTTTAAGAATGATTGATGGAGGTTTTATAGGAGGTTGATGGAGGTTTTATAGAATCTGATTGATGGAGGGATGGACAACTGATTGATGGAGGTTTTAAGATCGTGACCAGTTCCCATAGAAACTATAAAAACGCCAGACTGGTCTCTGTGGACGCGTTATATTTTCCCGTAACTGTAAAAACGCGGGAAACGCCGGAGTTTTTTAGGCCATGATTTTAAATTTCGTTTAAATTGGCCTCAAAAAACACAGAAAATATCGACGAAAATGTTCCCAATACTGAAGGCGAAATCGTTCCCAATAAAACTGAAAATATCAAAGGAAAAGGGAAAAGGAAATGGTCCAACTCAGAAATTGGGGAGTTTGAAGAAAAAACCTGTCTTTGGGATGTCTTTTCAAAAGACTACCACAACATTGAAGGAATTATCGGTACGTAAAAATTGCTGAACGTATTCATAATAAACTTTCGGTGTACCATGGAAAGATACTTAGTTTCAAAACACATGTTTGAGAGCTACTTTTGCTCAAAAGTTGAAGAAGAAAATCCCAATGGAAATCAGGACCAGGAACCAACGAAGACTTTACATCGAAATTGATTTTTTGGGAACAGCTACAATTCCTTGTACCTACCATGGAAGCAAGGCAACGTCGATAAAGACAGTAATAAGGACAAGCTTACAGAACCCGTTTGTACTAATGCAATGAACCGAAAACGTCATATTTGCAACTTTGCAACATTACAGAATTACTTAACCGCACGAGGAGGAGGAGAAGGAGAACGTAAAATTACAAAGCGGTCAGTTCGGTTGGTCTTAGCATGTAACGACAAACACTATACGAATATGACATCCCTATTTCATAAATGACAATTTTTCTGAGAAAATATTTAACAACATAAAATAATTATTCTTCAAGGTTTTATAATATTTTTTTTTTCAAACAGGGCTGTGATGACAATCATGACTTGTGCTGTTATTGTTGGCCAATTGTTTTCTATGACACCGGATTATACAGAAGCAATGGAAGCCACCAACAAAGTGTTTTCTTTCTTAGAAAAGACGCCTAACATTGACAGTTACTCTGACAGAGGGGTACACCCGGTAAGTTCATATTCCTTATTACTATAGGTATACTCTTTTATAGTCAGAGTAACTAGTATTGAATATTCAGATTTTTGATTGGTTGCGATAAAAGTGCCGCTTACATGATGTACGTGTATCGTTGTTGGTTATCCAAATGGCCAGATACTGACATTTTTCCATGTAAATGCTGAGAAAAATGCATATGCTGAATTCCGTGACCTTTTCAGTTGTTTTCATATTATTTTGTCATTTCAGTTGGTTTCAATCTTTCTATACTATCACAATTTTTGTGCGCTCAACGAATATATGCTTGTAATTAGCACGCCTTCGGCGACTAATTATTGATAAACCATTTCAACTTTACCCAAAAATTAATGAAATTAATATGTGAATAGGGGAGAATTTTAGTCAGAAAATGAAAGATTTTCTTTATGATTATACTACATTAAAAATATACATGAGAATTGATTCTGACTGGCTAAGAGCAGGATGAATTTCATCGAGATGTTTTGGTATAGGCTGACAACTTTAAGCACAGCCTAAAGTCTCTTCGGTTTTATAGCAATATTAAACCAGGTTTCATGAGCTTTATTCTTCGGCCTTTCATAATTTCAATCCTGAGATTTTAAAATATTTGCGATGTTTTTCAGTAACATGGCACTACCTTCGTGATTTAGATGTTAAAGCCCCAAGGTTTAAATGTAACGGGAGATGTTGGGGTGCGTATCAATTTTCTTGCTCTTGTAGTTATCGAAAACCTGGAAAGTTGGCTTTAAAAAATCACCCTTGTCATCGACAGTCGCACCATGGCAACAGTCGCTGACCAGTTTTGACTGACACGTTCTGTTCTGCGTTTAATATAGTTCCCAGCCCTTCATGCATATTTTTCTATCATTGGAATTTTTTTTCAAAATCCTTACTAAGGAAATAGTACGGATCCTAGTTGAAAATAGTATGGAAATCCAATTTTCATGCTAATTTTAATTTTCATACTATGGATATAGTATGGAAATACAATATATAGCTAGTATGGATATGCTATGTCTATGGATTTAATGATGCAATCGCAAGTTCCATAGCATGAATTTCACGATTTTTCCATTGTATAATAATACTAAGACACTAATATCTATTTGTATAAAATCTTTCAGAGTTCTTGCAGAGGGGAAATTCGAATCGCGAACGTTCGCTTTAGATATCCTACGCGACGTAATGCGAAAGTATTACGCAACCTAAACTTTAATGTGCAACCAGGACAAACTGTTGCTCTGGTTGGAACAAGTGGATGCGGTAAAAGTACCTCTGTTTCGTTGGTTGAACGGTTTTATGATGCGAGGAGCGGAAGCGTGGTAAGAATGTTGAATAATGTTTAAATACACTTTTTGGCGTACCTCACAATTATAGTTTCATATTTATATTCCAGTTTTTTCAGTTAGCTCCGTGAGCTATATAGCAACAAATGACAAAAACATCAGTGTATAGGAGTAAGTTTCCCTAATTACCCAATTGCATATGAACAGTTACAGTATTAACAATTTCATGGAGAACCCAATTGTTTTCTAGCGAGTTTTCTTAGCTATAGTATGACTTGGGCTGATTTCAAATATACAAAGTTTATTGAAGAAATGAAATTAAATTTTATGAACATATTTCGAAACGTTTCCGCTCAAAGATGTTATCTAATAGTGATATGCTTATATTCCGTCATTGTGTTGTGTACGTTTAGATGATAGATGGCCATGATGTCAAGGAGTTGAATTTAAAATAGCTCAGGAGTCAAATAGGAATTGTTTCTCAGGAACCAGTTCTATTTGACTTGTCTATAAGAGACAACATCGCGTATGGTGACACATCAAGAACTATTAGTGATAGCGAAATTGAAGCAGCGGCACGATCTGCCAATATTCACGATTTCATTTCAACACTGCCAAAGGTAGGGATATACGTTCTTAGTTTCCAGTCTGTGATTACTTTGCCACTCAGAAACAAGCAATAGACACAAGCATTTTCCAATTACGCCGTCTAATTGCCAAGAATGATGACACCAAGTCGAGGGTTAGTTAGTGCTATAATTTACTACAAGAACGTTACAATTTAGGACGAAGCTTCGTTCTCAGGCCTTTATCTTAATACGAACGGCACGTTTGACACAGAATGGCACGTTTCCTTGTCATGTGCCTCAATAATGTAAAACCTGTGAGTTCATAGATTCCTCTACTACCATTTCGGCACCTAAATCTAAGTACCATATCAATTAAGCACCAATTCACGTGCATCTCCTCCCATCTTACCTACTGCATCTCGTGCAGTAAATGTGGCTTGCTTTATATCGGGGAAACTGGTAGACGTTTGAGGACAAGGTTTGGTGAACATCGACGTGCTATCATTAGTAATGATGCTAACCAACCTGTTGCCAGACATTTTAATAGTGGTAATCACAGTGTTTCAGATATGGAAATTCGAGTCCTCTGTCCCATTTCTGGTAGCAACGATAGCCTACATGTCCACCCCTATGGTATAAACGAATGTTTTTCTTACGTTTCCCTATATCTGTCCTTGCCTGACTTTAATTCTCACCTTATTGATCCTTACTTGTTTTAATATTCCTTATTTTTTTTAATTATCCCGGAGCTTTCTTTCCTTTTCCTTGGTAAGGGACCGTTCATTATTTACACCCGGGGTTGGTACCGAAGAGATATGGGTTGGGTAATCAAGTTTTTGACTAGCTCATGGGTTGGGTAAAAAAATTTGTGGCTGTCTGTCAGCTATAAAATAAAACCGAAATTACCATGCATTGGAAAATATGAAGAAAAATGTGCACAATACATTCTGTACCAAAGTAGACTATCAGTGATTGAGGAAGGACTCTATTATTGATCAGCAGGAACGTGGTTCCATTGGCACACTCAGTGAGTTTGAGTCTGAGTGAGCTTTTAAAATTTAGGCAACTTGATTTCTGTCACCATATAATCTTGTGTGTTTAATTATTAAGTACAGTAACACATGGGTTGGGTAAACATTATTTTGACCAATGTTGAGGTTGGGTAAATAAAAAAATTACAGTGTTTTTCGCTTCTCTTCGGTACCAACCCCAGGTATAAATAATGAACGGTCCCTAATATATTCTGTAATGTGATTTACATGTTTTGTTCACACTTCGTTTTGATCAAATCCATCTGATTGGTTTATTTTTGTCACGTGGTCACTTTACACTCGCTAGTATAAAAGCACATTTATTTTCCTGATCCATGCTAATTTCCCATATGATCCATACTAACTTCCCGACGTATTTAGTAAAATTCTTGTTCAGGGGATTTTTGTATTTTTAACTACATTTTCAGGGATTTTGGAATTCTTTGCAAATTTCTTTAGCGATTTGTCAATTCTTTTTGGTAGCATTTTGGAATAATTATTTTTAAAGAAATTTTGGGAATTTTTTCATGCGACTATTTTATGAGCAATATTTCCCTACATCTGAAACATGACAATTCATTTATATTTTTGTTGCTATCAGAAATACGATACTCAAGTTGGAGACAGAGGCACTTTGATATCTGGTGGACAGAAACAACGGATTGCTATTGCCCGAGCATTGATACGAGATCCAAAAATTCTTCTTCTGGACGAAGCAACTTCCGCTTTAGATACAGAAAGTGAAAAGGTAAACAATATGTTGTCCAATATCATGCAGTTAAGAAAGTTGGTTCAGGTTGTTAGAACCATTGTTAGATTCTTCATGCAACGTCTTAAAATGATTCCACGCTTTGCATGTGGTATATAAGGAACAAGATTTCGAGGAATATGATTTTCCGTTCTTGGTTTACCAGCACGAATTAGACCGTTTCTCTATAGGATTTTCTACACCTATTCTGTGTTTTAGGTTGTTCAACAAGCCTTAGATAAAGCAAGTATTGGTCGAACAACGCTTGTGATTGCCCATCGTCTGTCAACTATTCAACATGCAGATGCTATCATTGTTATCAAGAAAGGGAAAGTGATCGAACGAGGTACTCACGAGGAGTTACTGGCTTTAAAGGGAATATATTACGCTTTGAATCGTGCGCAATCGTCATCCTCTTAATGGACTACTTTACATATATAGAAATTTTTGAATCATAACTGATGAATGGGACAGTAGAACAGGATTGGGTGATGCAGTTATAACTATACATTATGCGTATTTTCAAAATATAGAAAGAATTGACGAAGTTGCCTATTCATGCTTGTATAACCGTAGAAGAATTATTCGCACAAGAAGAGAATTAACCACGCAATGGTTCCATGCATGCATGTTTGTTTAGTTCAATACTCAGACAACTGCTATACAGGGTGTATAAAAAAACTGAACATATATGAATTTGCTCTCAATTTCACAAAACAGCTATTAGTGGCCAGTTTTTTTTATGTATATACCTTCTTTGGGTACTTATAATGTAGAATAATGAAAAATAATTCTCGAACTCAAAATTTGTGAACCAGGGGGGTGCGTCTTTTCCAACAAACTAAAAATGGCTTGCGCACGAAATTTAAAAGCTTTAATCATATTTTGAGTTAATAGATGGAAAATTTGTTGAGCTTTTAATTACTGTACACAATTTCAGACAATTTTCTTTAGTTTAAGCCCTTTAACTATTCACGCAAACTTACATTTTTTTAGTCTAAAAAATCAGCTATTTGCATGCTTAATTCATGCCTTTGCCTAATTTGCATATGTCAGCAATGTGCAAATTAGGCAAAAGCATTAATTAAGCATGCAAATATCTGAGTTTTTAGACAAAAGTGAATATTTAAAGGACTTAAACTAGAGAAAATTGTCTGATATTTTGTACAGTAATTAAAAACCCAACAAATTTTCCATTTATTAACTTAAAATATAATTAAAGCTTTTAAATTTTGTGTGCAAGCCATTTTTAGTTCGTTGGAAAAGACACACCCCCCTGGTTCACAAAATTTGAATACGAGAAATTCTTTTCATTTTTCTACATTATAAGTACCCAAAGAAACTATATATATATATATATAACTGGATACTAATAGCTGTTTTGCGAAATTGAGAGCAATTTCAAATCTGTTCAGTTTTTTTTTATACACCCTGTATAGATGGTTTTTAGCTATCACCGCCAATCCGCCATGTTGGTTAAATTCGGCAAGGGATTTTTCTTGTTTGTGATTTTAAATTCACCAAACGTGACGAAAACCTTTCGAATTCCCAGGGAATGGTCGGATCCCCCTCGCTCCATATTAAACTGGACAGATGCATGTCGATGATATATAAAAAAACATACGACACATGAACAACTCGACAAGACGACAAATCACCTGGCAAGGACTTGTAGGCAATCAGTAAATACCAAAATTCTCAGAAAACCTGAAATGCCACAACACTGATCCTATCAAAAGTGAAATGTTCCAATTCCACATAAAAAATAATAACTTCGCAGTTGAATTTTATTTTACATACTGACTATAGTATAGCTATACTTTCAAATGCGACAGAATACCGTATTTACTCGATTGAGCGCGGCCTCCGAATGAGCGCCGCATTTGAGATCAAATATTTTAAAGAGCGCCGCCTCCGAATGAGCGCCGCACTAAACGATGTAAAAACTTTCCGCCGTCAAAATGGGGACATTTAGAGACAAAAACCTTTTAAAACTTGTTTATTTTATTGTTAGAAGTTCTTTTTATAATCCACAAATAAAAGATTTTTTAAGAGCGTCGCCCCCGATTGAGCGACGCCCCCGAATGAGCGCCGCATCTGAAGCTCTGAAAATTTAAAGAGCGCCGCGGCGCTCAAACGAGTAAATACGTTATGTGAAAATCAAATTTCGTACGCGAAAGTTCTGAATTAGTTCACATGTAAAATGAGCGATATTCTGAAGAACTACTCCAGCTATAGGGCGGGGAAAAGGAAAACAATCCAACATATATGTCGAATGCGAGTGTGCTGCTGTTCTTTCTCGTCTTTTTAGAGGCTGTTCAAGCCAATGAAGACCATAGGCATAGTTCTTTTCAGAACTCTTGCACGGATCTTCAGAGATTTGGCAGCCCTGAAAGTAATAACGGCAACAGTCCGCTTTCACTGATCGACCACTACGAATATAAAAAAGTGTCATGCAGAATGAACTTCATCTCAAGGATGACAATGCCGGAATTAAATGATTAACGTATATTTATCCAAACTGGATAAGACAAGTTCATCACGATACTTACAATGTGGCAACACAAGCAAAAACGTTACTAAAATCCAGATATCTTATTCCTTTTTGCAAATCAGTTATGAATGGGCAGTCGGGCAATATTCGATGAACAGTCGGGCAATTTTGGTTTATTATAAAAATAAATGGGACAAATTCTGTCAATTTTATCTGAAATTTAAGTCAGATTTGGAAAATTTGTGTGACGTTCCGAAAAATTTCGGTATGTCCGGAAAATTTTTTGACCCCTAAAATGGTACACTGAGCAAAAGTGCGGCGGGGGGTGGGGGTGAAGGCCAAAAAAAACATTTTTTCGGTACTAGTCGGGCACAATCCCGAAAAGTCGGGCAAATTTCATTCCGCCCCCCTAATTTTTTCCTTCCGGTACGCCCATGCTTCGACTTGTAAATTATTTTGACTCAGGCACTCGGCGTATAAAGGTTTAGTAAAGTTTTAAGCCCTGTAAAGGCCATAATTTAGTGTATAAAATAACGTGACTTTTTATTATAAAGTTTTGGTTTCTTAGTTTAAATTGTTTAATACTGTGTATACAATGTAGTAAATGCGCCTAGCAGTATTAGACTTAATAATATGAAATCAGATAGCAAAAACTTGTGTTATATAATTTAACTGTACGTCTTAATAAGAATGCTTTGTCGTTTGTATTTATACGCGTACTAAAGCAGCGCGTATTTATGATTTAGTGAATATTACTTCCGTAAACATCAACACGCCTATCTGTAATCTGTGATTGCTCTTGAACCTGTGCATGGTCTTGGCAACAAATGCATTGGCCATTGCTTTTACCCAGACACTCATGGCATGAATCGATTCCGTATTCCTAAGCTCCGACCACAGTGCTCACAACTCGCCGGCTCGCTGCGCGCGAGTAATAACTGCATGCTTTATGTAATTTGTACTATTTTTAGTTCTATTTGCTCATGATGCCCGCAACAATCCCTACCTTGCAGGTACCCTTACCAGTACAATACATTTTATCAGGGGGGGGGGCAAAATTTTGCCGGGGGGGCCGGGCCCTCCGGCTCCAGCCCTGGCTACGCCTCTGTAACCATAATTTAAGAAGTAACAACTTAATGCTGAGGTTGGCTAAATCAAAAACTATTGCAATGAAAAAGTCGTTCAGTTATGCTGCCGCCAACATCTGGAACTCACAGAGCATTTCAGAAAGAAAGAAAGAAAGTAATTAACTTGATTCAATGATTTGATATATAGTGGGTTATGGCGTATTAAATGTATTAGACGTGTAATTATGTATATTGGCCTGTATTGTATTGTATTGATATTCAAAAATTGTAATTCTAACGTAATCACACGGCCTTTTGAAAAGCAGCATTTAATATTTTTTCCCCCTTAATTTATTATTGCATGTTTACTTATATACATTATATGTACGTATATATTGCTGAAAAGTTACCGTGTATAAATATTTTTAAATAATAAAATAAAATAAATTCACCTTGGGGAAACATTTTACCATTATTAAAATTGCTCAAACTGAACTGCAGCTGCTAGGTTTTTGTTCTTACTCAACATGACTTGAAATATGCATTTTTTCCCAACAAATCATACTGAATGTTTGATACTGAATGTATCCTTACCCACCCAAGATTTACATCACGATTGTTTGGTGACAACTGACACGTACAAGTTGACTGATGCTGGTCAGTCTGACAGCTACGGTCAGTGGTGGAAATTAACTTTTTTCGGGGGGGGGGGGGGCAAATCCTCCTAAATTTCCAACAAAAGCTTCAAATTTCTGACAACCCCGCCCAGTTTGCACTCGAAAAGGTTGTTTCTAGCCCTCTTTTAGGTTAAAAATGCATCAATTTTCGCCACCCCACCCCACCAAGATTTCCACCACTGGCTAGGGTGGAAAATATTATTTTCAGACCTGGATGGAAGCTGCTTACAACTACATATATCATGTTTACTCATTTAGATGCCACAGTGCCACTATGATTAAATACCACATATATAAGAGCAAAAATACTAAAGAGCTCCACCTCCACCCTTGAATAAGTCCCGCCCTCTATAAGCACCACATCCGAAACACTAATGTCTCAATCAATTCCATGGTCGCCCATCCCCCCCCCCCCCGGGCGTTTGTCGGGCATTCTCAACTGTACTTGTTCCCAGGGTCGGGCATTTGCTTTCTGCAGCTTAGCCCCGGGGTGGGGAATTTGCTCGAGGCTAAAAAGTCGAATATTTATCGCTTGTTTCGCCATTTAGCCGTACTTTAGTACGCATGTTTACACGAGCGTGCGTATCGCAAATTAATCATGGCGGACATGCACAAGACTTTTTTCTTGTCCATCCTGTTGATACATTGACTTACTTCTGCAGTTTGATATTGCTATATAAAGTTTTGAGACTTCAATATTTTAATTAAAAACGTTTTAAAACGAAATGGCTATGGAATCGATTTTAAATACAGATATATTGATACGTGATAGAGCGTGGATTCGATTTTTTGGATCAGAAATCCTCAGAAAACTTATATTTTGTCCCCCAAGGGTGGGGCATTTGCGGCAATGTAAGTCCCCAAGGGTGGGGATTTTGTTGCATTATTTGGACCCCATACTGGGGCATTTGCAACGTTTTTTCGCCAAAATGACAAAAGCCCGACAAACGCCCGGGGGGGTGTTGGCAAACATTCCAACCGTCCCGGTTTACCCGGGACTGTCCCGGTTTGGACTATGTTGTCCCGGTGTCCCGGTTTTCTTCTTATTGTCCCGGTTTCTGTAGTATTTTAATAGTTGTATTCTTCAAATAGGACTCATGTGACAAATATTAATGAAATTTGTTTGGTTCAATACATATTAATGAAATGGGAGTTTCTAGTTGCCCCAAACAATTGCCGAGTTTGTCACCGATCGTTGTAATTCTCGTGACATACGTTGTTTTGACAATTTAGCGTTCGCTTTCAATTCCTATTCATTTTGCCAGGGTTACATGAAGTAAGCAGCATAACAGCTAGGAAGGCGGGCGAAATAATCGCGGGCTCTTGAATAGGAGAGGATCCGACCACAGTTCAAAAGACCAGTAGTAAAACAGGGCCGTAGCAACCGGGGGAC